GGGGGGGGGGAGTTAGTGGGAAGGACAGTTGTGAGGCTCCAGGGGTGCCGAAAAGTCCCCTCTTTAGGCTGGCTGCGTACAGGGCCCGGACTGCAGGCCGGGGGGCTCACGGATCCTGGGGCCCAGGGTCGTGGTCCCATCTCTTTCTCCTCAGGCAGCCTGGGGAAGAATTACGCCAATTGAAGCCCATCCCTTCAGGGGCCGGGGTGGTGGTGGTGGTTGACGCTGCAGCACCTCAAGGCAGGCTGCGTCTTGGTGCAGCTCTTTCCCGAAAGCTGCGCCGTCGGGGGAGGGAGCCCTGCAACTCCAGAATAGGAGCTCTTTGGGGCCGCCTTGCCTTGCCTTGCCTCGCCTCTGTGGGCCTTCTCACTCTGGCGTTCCTTTTGCTTGCTAGGAAGAACTCTCCTGCCTGGAGCACAAAGGCAGCAGGTCAATTCCGTCTCCTGCTGCCCAGGTGTGGGTACTGACTGAAGCTTCGCTGGCTGCAGCCTTCTCTGCCACACAGCAGTTAAAGGCAAAGGAGCCTGGCTAGGCAGCCCACTGGCCACCCGACTGGGGAGAAGCCCAGGAGCTGCAGACCAGGCGACAGCCGGCACACACCTACCCTGCCAGCGACCCAGAAGTGGACCACCGTGGGCACCATCCCCCAAATCAGGGCTCTTCTCATTAACGCACACGACCCCACCCGGCTTTAGGTCAGTTGCCCTTCCGCTAGTGTTTGCAGGATCAGGGCCTCTGGGCTTGAGTGGAGGGGGGGATGTCCCTTTTGCTCCTGTGATTCTGGATTTCTTGGGTTCGGAAGAGTAAAGCTGAAACAGGACCTTGTAGGCAATGCTCCCTCTAAGCCATGCAGTCTTGTGAGCAAAAATTCTACATTGTGAGCTACTGGCATGAAAGGGGTGAGCGAGTGATTGGCTACTGCATAAATTAGTTTGCTCTGGAGCCCCCCTTCCTGAGCAAAGACAAAAATGTGTGAGCCGAAGGCTAAAAAACTGTGAGCCGGCTCACACTAACTCAGCTTAGAGGGAACACTGCTTGTAGGTACAGGCATGGTGGCCCACCTGTGAGCCAGTTTGGTGTAGGGAGAGCCAGTTTGGTGTAGTGGTTAAGTGTGCGGACTCTAATCTGGGAGAACCGGGTTTGATTCCCCCCTCCTCCACTTGCACCTTGCTGAATGACCTTGGGTAAGCTGTAGTTCTGATAAGAGCTGTCCTTGAGCAAGAGCAGTTTCTACCAAGAGCTCCCTCAGCAGCCCCGCCTCCCTCACAGAAGGGTGTCTGTCTGTTGTGGGGAGGGGAAGGGAAAGGAGTTTTTGAGCCGCTCTGAGACACCTTTGGGTAGTGAAGGGCCATGGGGTATAGATCCAATCTCTTATTCTTCTTCTACTGAGCACAAGACTCTTCAGGGCACATATGGGGAGAGGTGGTCCCGCACGTATGTCAGTCCCTGGCCGCATAGGGCCTTAAAGGGTAACACCAGCACCTTGAAATGGATCTGGAACTCTACCAGCAGCCAGTGCAATTGCTGCAGCACCAGCTGAATGTGCACCTGTGGAGATGTCACAGTCAGCAAGCGCACTGCCACATTCTGCACTAAGTGCAGCTTCTGGGTCAGGTACAAGGGTAGCCACGCGTAGAGCGAGTTACAATAGTCCAACCTGGTGGTGACCATTCCAGCAACCTGTTTCACACAGTGGCCAGCCTGTTGCCCTGGAAGACTGACAAACAGGGCACAGAGGCCTGTCATAACTCTTCCTTCACTGTTGCCTCCTGGCACTGGGATTCAGAGCTTTACTGTCTCTGAATATGGAGGTTCCCTTTAGTCATCTTGGCTGGTAGGTGCTAATGGACCTCTCCGCCATGAATGTGTCTCATCTCCTCTTCAAGCCATCTTCGCTGGTGGCTGCCCCAACACCTGCTGGCAACAAATCTCACAACTGAATCCCTTTTGAATAAGGAAGTACTTCCTTTTGTCTGTCCTGAGCCTACTGCCCATCAACTTCATAGGGTGTCCCTGAATTCTAATGTTATGGGAGAGAAAAACACGCTCTACTCAGTTGCTCCACACAATGCATAATTTTATAAAATTCTGTCATGTTCCCCTCTTAGTTATCTTTTCTGGGAGAGCCAGTTTGGTGTAGTGGTTCAGTGTGCGGACTGTAATCTGGGAGAACCGCGTTTGATTCCCCACTCCTCCACTTGCAGCTGGCTGGATTACCTTGGGCAAGCCTAGCTCTGATAAGAGCTGTCCTTGAAAAAGAGCCGTTTCTGTCAAGAGCTCTCTCAGCCCCACCTACCTCCCAGGGTGTCTGTTGTGGGGAGGGGAAGGGAAAGGAGACTGTAAGCCGCTCTGAGACACCTTTGGGTAGTGAAGGGCGGGGCATAAATCCGATATCTTCTTCTAAACTGGAAAGTCCCAGTCTCTTCAGCTTTTCCTCGAAGGAATGGTGCTCCAACCCACTTCTGCACTTTTTCCAGTTCTGCAATATACTTTCTGAGATAGAGTGACCAGATCTCTGCAGGGGCATTACAACAGTGGCTGTTTTATTTTCCATTTCTTTCCTAATCGATAGGAAAATAATTTTTTTTAACAATTATTTCTTCCTGACCTTTATGTAATTCACTGGCCAGATAATTTGATTATTATTGGCAGTCAATTAGGGGACCGGGTTATACGGTAGGATTGGTTGAGTATTTGTGGATTTAGCAGCACTGGATGTTGTAGCTTGCTAAAGGTAAAGGTTCCCTTGCTCGAAAGCCAATCAAATCCGACTCTAGGGTTGCGGTGCTCATCTCCGTTTCCAAGCCGAAGAGCCAGCGCTGTCTGAAGACTCCTCCTTGGTCATGTGGCCGGCATGACTAGACACCAAGGCGCACGGAACGCTGTTCCCTTCCCACTGAGGTGGTACCTATTTATCTACTTGCAATTTCTTGCTTTCGAACTGCTCGGTTGGCAGGAGCTGGAACTAGAGACGGGAGCTCACTCCGTCATGTGGCACACTCGGGTCTCAAACTGCTGAACTACCGACCTCCCGCAGCCTGCAGTTCAGCATCTTAACCACTTGAGCCACCGCAGCTCCTGCTGTAGCTTGCTACTGGACTTTATACTGAGTGCTCCGTCACCATCAGCTCTACCAGCGGTCTGAGGCTTGTGAAGATCCATGGCCTTCCGATTTCCGGCCTCCCAATCTGCTGCCACGATGCCCCTGTGAGGTGCTGCTGCGGAACAGGTGTGCCTGCATGACGACGCCTGCGTTTTGACAGGCCACTGCCACACCCCACTCCCGGGCTCCCTTCCTCCGTGCGCAACAGGCCAGCGGAACGGCTGCTGGGTGCTGAGACAAGGGGCGGTCTGCCTCTGCCTGGCACAAAGCCCAATGCCCAGACGCTTTGACAGCTGCCCGTTTGACAGGCGGGCGGCCTGCTTCCCTCCGACTGCATGTGGCTTTCTGCTTTGATCCTCCCCTTGGGAGGCCGGTGTCTTCGAAGCCCTGTTACCAGGGACACCAGCGTGGATGATTCCTG